TTTACCTATTATGGTTTTTCACCTCAATCTAACACTTCCGGAGAAGTAACACCTGCGTCTCTAGCGCCATCTCGAACATCTGCTCTCTATCTCCTCCTGTTCTTAAGTTTGCACTTGAGTGTGTTTTCTTCCATCAATCGTATTTTCTGGTGAGTATCCCTTTTATATCTCTTTGATTCATCTTTATCTGTATATCAATGGCTTTTGTTCTTTAGGTGTTTGAGAAAATTCTTCATTGAATTACCATTTCTATTTGGTTTCTTATATATTATATTTCTGTCTTCTCTATTGTTTAGGGTGTTTGAAAAAAATTCGTGAATGACCAAATTTATTTTTATCTTAAACCAGAGAGCAGATTTGTTCTCATAGTACCATAGTTGTTTGCGTAGAGCAATGAACTTGATCATGAACTTGGCTGCTCTTCGATTACTGCCTGCAGCTTGGTCTTGTAGCTTGCTCTGTTCTAATCTTCCAGCAGAGGATTCTTTGCTTCTTTGGCCGTTACAGTCTAGGAATTATAATAACCAGTCAAGAAAATTAGAATCTCAGGATGCTAATTCAGAAGTTTGTTCCTTGCCATTTTATTATGCTACACATACCAAGATAGAAAAAAGGTGGATTGTATGGGACGGGTCGAACTCATAATTCATTAGATGCTTTTTATGAATGTTAACTAAGTATCGTATTGTTGTAAGTAAATTGATCTCGTTGTTGATGAACTAAACCAGATAGTTATATGAGTGAAAAAACGACTTCTAAATTTGCAGTAGTAAGGTTGAGTCTCATTTCCCTTACCTGTAGTAAATTACTCAAGATTCTTCTTCCATCATGAAAATAAATCTCCAGAATATTGGAAAATGACTGCTTATCAATACGTATGAGCCTACAAAGTTGGCAAACACGAACTGTATATGGTTGAGGAAGGTTGCAAACAATGGAAATATCTCCGAATGAGCTGTTAGGTTCAAGAAGTGCCACTATATACCAACCTCCTCCTGAATTAAACAAAAACACAATGAGTAATTGTGGAAACCAATGTAAACATATGGTAGGACATAAAATGTGTTGCAACATAAAGAGCTGAACAGGTGTAATTGATTGTAGAACGTCGTACCAGAACGCCATGACAGACAAAATAAAGCTGGTCTACTACATTCCCTTGTTCCATTTTCACTTCTCCGGGGAGGAAAAATTCTTCGTGGACTCGAGGTTACCTGCCAAAATTCAACAGTACCCCAAATCAGTAAATATGCAGTCATCTAGTTTTCTTCAATTGCAATTGTAGCGCAGTCAAAAGCAAGCAGAAAGGTGTGAAGAAGCATTGCATTTCAAAGGCCATACACTATGAACTTTCTGTGAAGGATTGAATGAATGATACCAAAAGAAATTACTTACAACTTGACTTATGAATTCCGAGGAACAGCCCTTAAAAAGAGGAACATTTTCTATGTAAGACTGAGATAAACTCTGCGAAATCTGCCAAAAAAAAATTGGAATTATTTGTCACTAACATTTTAATGCAATATAATATGCATCAGCAATAAAAGTGGAAGCAAAATTTTTCTTTCATATATTTACCTTGACGCGGATTGAGATTGGAATGTCCTGGAGAACAGCAATATATTTACTTTCATATTGTAATCGCAAGTGACCTTTTATTTGATTACGTATGTCTCTTCCGAGTCTATTTCTGTTCATATATTTCAATAGATCTGTCATTTTATCCCTGTATCACTCAGTTTTTGATCCTTTCACGATTAAAGCTGTCATGTTACCGATCAAATAAGCACTAAGAATCATATCAAAGGAGACATAAATC